CGTGGTAACCTGGGGCTTCCATTCCCCCCCCCCCCCCTAAACCGCAACATCCCAAAACACGGCAACCCAACAGCTCCCCTGGTTGCAATGACTGGAATGGGGCCAACACATGTTCCTCCCCGGCCTGCCAGCCACTGAGCTGACTCCCCACAGGTGCCAATATGGCCTCCAGGCACAGAGCACAGGTCAGAGGAGGAGCTGACAGCTGTAGGCAGGCAAGCAGCGCAAGGGATGCAGAAGAGGAGGACAGGTTCCCTTCCCCACCCCTTAGTCACAGATCCAGGGAGGGGTGGGGAGGAGGGAAACATGAGGCACGGATAAAAGGAAGAGTTTGTCCAGAGCAGGGAGAGGGGCTGGGATTAGGTCAGAATCGGCTAACACATCGGTCAACTCAGCCAGCCTCCAGCTTTTCTGCCCAACCCAGAGACGGCAAGAGGGTCTCCATGCTCCTCTCCCTCCTCCATCAGCTGCAGCGCCTCCTTGGGGAGGGAGAAGGAAACAAAACTCGGGGGGAGGGGGAGAGGAGAGGAGGGAGACCCAAAATGCTGATGCCTCCCAGCAAGGAGAAGGAGGAGAGAACAAAGATAACCCAGTGTTCCTGTTCCATTTTGGAGTGCAGTGCAGAGCAATGAGAGGTGGCATCCCAACCCGCTCTGAAACCTGGGGTGCCTCAGTTTGGCTGTTGTAGTTCCCAAGCGGGGTCACTCAAAGCATGCAGGGCACACCCTGAGCACAGCTGCAGCTCTGAGCCAGCCCCTGGGACCTCAGCAACCACGCACTGGCTTCCAACAGCCTTGGTTAATGCCTGCTGCATGATACCACCCCCTCCACCCACCCACCCACCCACACTTCCTCCAACTGGGTATTTGTTCAGTGCTAGCCAGCCCTCTTAGAGGTTCGGATATGAGAGGGCTGTTGCCCCAGGAAGGAACAATCAATCTCCAACAGTTTCCAGTTAAAGTAGGAGTTCCCAGAACAGTTCAAACAATCTGGATTAGTTTTGTAGTTAAATAAACATGTTCTTAATCAACGAGATCACTTGTACACACTAAGAGCGTTCAGATCAGAAGAAGTTACAAGATAAAATGCTTTCTGGTGGCTAAAACAAACTAGACTTGGTTCACAAGGAACCCTCACCATGTGTTCCCAGCACCACTGCTGACCAAGCCTTCAGGTCAGAATCCCACCCAAGTCAAAAGCTTCTCATCTTAGACAGGGGCCAGGAGGAGAATGAAAAAGCCTGGGGGTGTTCTGACCCTCACTGTTACAGTCTAGTCCAGTCACTTTAAAACGCACTGCCCTGAGGGTTACCCCCGCCCCGATACAGTTCCTTCCTGCCAGGAGGACAGAGCCGAGGAGTGGCCTGGTGAAAGAGGTTCCACGCTGTTGCTAAAATGTACAGTCATCTCTAAACACAGCCACCACAACAGCGACGGCCAATCAACTTTGACCACATGCAGAGGGCTCAGCTTGTCCTTTGTCTGAGGAACCCGTTTACCCTTCTTGCTGCTCCAAGAACCCAGTTTTCTACTTAGATCAGTGTTTCTTAAACTTTTTAAGAATGAGGAACACCAAACAATAATTTTCTTTTACGCGGAATACCAACGATTTTTTTTGAGGGGGACAAAAAAAAAAAAAAAAAAAGAGGTCAGGGGAAACTTATTAACAAAAAAGGGTCGCGGGACGTTGAGAGTTGTTCAGCGCAGCAAAAAAGTTACCTGTAACAGACTAACTTGGCTACCCCCTGAAGCTGCCTCTTTAAGAGCGGCTGTCATTTGGAACTCTGTTCTCGGTTGCACACCGGTGCGCTGCGGAACACAGTTTAAGCAACACTGACTTAGATGCAAAACCAAGTAAATAACGTTTCTTTGGTTAAGAGAAACCGGCTCAACGACTTCTGCTTAGCCAAGCCTGCATGGGTTCGAACATGCGCTAACACCCCCTCTCATGGGACGCTGCCGCCCACGTTGCTATTAGCTGGGGAGTTATTAGGTTTCAAATGCCAATTCCCAACCTGTGTTTTGGACTGAGATTAGTAAGCACATTCAGGCTGTGACCGAGATTCTTCCCAAACTGCTCAAACCTTCGGATCGCGGCCCCTTCCTGCTCCTCCATGTAGGAACCAACGATACGGCCAAGAATGACCGTGAGCAGGTCACAGCAGATTATGAAGCGCTAGAAAGAAGGATCAAAGAATTTGAAGTGGGTCAATGTGGAAACCATTTCATATTTAGCTAGAACCCATTCTGTATAACAAAAGCCATTTCAGTTTTCTGTGGAGTGGATGGACCTTCAGTGATTTAAGAAAAAGCCAGTGAGATGGGCTGCTGGAATGAGTTAATGAACTATTTTAAGCTGAAGCCCTTACTCCCTGAAAACCTGTTTCTTTCTTTGCTGATAATAATTCCTCTTTGAAGTTGGCTTTCATTTCTTGCCCTGACGTCAGACTTGTTTGGTAAAGGGTATAAAATACTAGGATTGATTGTATTAGCCAGCCTTACTGGGCCCAGCTCTACTGGGACCACGTTTAGCTCACTTTGCCTTATTGATCAATAAAGCTGTCTATTAGCTGCCAAAACAGAGGGAAGCCTTTGCTTCAACAGTCAAGTTTAGAGGTGTAAGCAACAGGAGTGATTGTAAGTGACTAGTTGGCTACCCGATAGCAAATGCTCATTGGGTAGCCAAGTTCCCACTTGACTAGTCACTTCCAGTACTACTCTTGATAGAGGCAGCAAGGGGGGGACACCACGAGCCAGTCCAGGGGGGAGATGACTTAAAAGCCGGTTTTCTCCCCCAGTACCATTTCCACAGGGGTAGGGGGCAGCAGGAAACCACACGAGCAGGCACTGAAACAGTCCCACTTGTGCCAGTACCACTGCTGCTCCTCTCCCTTTGGAACGTACAAGAGTCGCCTGTGACTTTAATCACCCTGACATCCGTTGGGAGACCAATACAGCAGCACACAGGCAATCCAGGAAGTTTTTGGAGAAGGTTGGGTACAAGTGCTGAAGGAACCCACCAGGGGCCGTGCGCAGCTTGACCTTCTGCTCACAGACAGGAACTAGTAGGGGAAGTAGAGGTGGGTGCCAACCTGGGAAGCAGTGATCATGAGATGGTAGATTTCAGGATTCTGACCAAAAGAAGAAAGAGTAGCAAAATACACACCCTGGACGTCAGAAAAGCAGACTGACTCCCTCAGAGAACTGATGGGCAGAATCCCCTGGGATGCTAACATGAAGGGGAAAGGAGTCCAGGAGAGCTGGCAGTGTTTTAAAGAAGCCTTATTGAAGGCACAGAAAGAAACCATCCTGATGCATAGCAAGAGAAGCAAATATGATAGGAGACCAAATTGGCTTACTGGGGAAATCCTTGGTGAACTTAAGCACAGAAAGGGAGCTTACAAAAACTTGGACAAATGACTAGGGAGGGGTATAAATGTAGAGCTTGAGAATGCCGGGGGGTTATCAGGAAGGTGAAAGTGCAATTGGCATTGCGACTGGCAAAGGATGTGAAGGGGAACAAGAAAGGTTTCTACAGGCATGTTAGCAAGAAGAAGGTGATCAGAGAGGGGGTGGGGCCCCTACTGGATGAAGGAGGTAACCTAGGCTATGTCTACACTCAAGGCTTCTTGCATGAGTAATATGCAAATGAGGCTCGGCGATATTCCACACAGCCTCATTTGCACATTACTCATGCAAGAAGCCGTGAATGTAGACATAGCCTCAGTGTCAGATGATGTGGGGAAAGCTGAAGTACTCAATGCTTTCCTTGCCTCTGTCTTCACGGACAAGGTCAGCTCCCAGACTAATGTGCTAAGTGATGCAATATGGGACAAAGATGGACAGACCTTGGTGGGGAAAGAACAGGTTAGAAGCGATTTAGAAAAGTTAAACATACACAAATCCATGGGTCCGGACAATGCATCCAAGGGTACTGAGGGAGTTGGGCAAATGTCATTGAGGAGCCTTTGGCCATTATCTTTGAAAAGTCATGGAAATCAGGATGACTGGAAAAAGGCAAATGTCGTGCCCATCTTTAAGAAAGGGAAGAAGGACAATCCAGGGAACTATAGGCCAGTCAGTCTTACCTCAGTCCTTGGAAAAATCATGGAGGGGATCCTCAAGGAATCCATTTTGAAGCACTTGGAAGAGGGGAAGGTGATCAAGAATAGTCAGCATGGATTCACGAAGGGCAAGTCATGCCTGACCAATCTGATTAGCTTCTGTGATGAGGTAACTGGCTCTGTGGACATGGGAAAGTCAGTGGATGTGATATACTTGACTTTAGCAAGGCTTTTGATACGGTCTCCCACAATATTCTTGCCAGCAAGTTAAGGGAATGTAGATTAGATAAACGGATGGTAAGATGGATAGAAAGCTGGCTGCAAGGTCAGGCCAGCGGGTAGTGATCAACGGCTCGATGTCAGGATGGCGGTCGGTTTCCAGCGGAGCACCCCAAGGATCTGTTCTAGGGCCGGTTTTGTTCAACATTTTTATGAATGACCTGGATGAGGGGATGGATTGCACCCTCAGCAAGTTCGCAGATGACACTAAGCTAGAGGGAGAGGTAGATATGCTGGAGGGCAGGGACAAGGTCCAGAGTGACCTAGACAGATTAGAGGATGGGGCCAAAAGAAATCTGATGAGGTTCAACAAGGACAAGTGTAGAGTCCTGCCCTTGGTACGGAAGAATCCCAAGCATTGCTACAAGCTGGGGACCGACTGGCTAAGTAGCAGTTCTGCAGAAAAGGACCTGGAGATTACGGAGGATGAGAAGCTGGATAGGAGTCAGCAGTGCGCCCTTGTAGCCAAGAGAGCTAATGGCATATTAGGGTGCATTGGGAGGAGCATTGCCAGCAGATCCAGAGAAGCGATTATTCCCCTTTATTCAGCTCTGGTAAGACCACTGGAGTATTGTCCAGTTCTGGGGCCTCCACTATAGAAAGGATGTGGACACATTGGAGAGGGTCCAGCAGAGAGCGACCAAAATGATTAGGAGGCTGGAGCACATGACCTACGAGGAGAGACTGAGGGATTTGGGTTTGTTTAGTCTGCAGAAGAGAAGAGTGAGGGGGGATTTGAGAGCAGCCTTCAAACTGCTGAAGGGGGGTTCCAAAGAGGCTGGAGAGAGGCTGTTCTCAGTGGGGACAGATGGCAGAACAAGGAACAATGGGCTCAAGTTACAGGAGGGGAGGTCTAGGTTGGAGATTAGGAAAAACTATTTCCCCAGGAGGGTGGGGAAGCACTGGGATGGTTCCCTAGGGAGGTGGTGGAGTCTCCATTCCTAGCGGTGTTTAAGTCTCGGCTTGACCAAGCCCTGGCCGGGTTGATTGAGTTGTGACTGGTCCTGCTTTGGGCAGAGGGCTGGACTGGACTCCTGAGGGCTCTTCCAGCTCTATGGTTCTACGTGTGACTGCGTCTGGTCACACCCCACTGCCCCAAACAGGTGGAGGCTCAGCACCCCCCATACTGCCAGCAGGCCTGAGACATTCCTCAAACTAGCTGGCAACTAGGCACAGACTCAGGCAAAGAACCACTTCTGCAGCAGAGGATGCTGATAGTGACCTTGGATCTTAGGTGCTCGCCCTTCAATTTAGGAAGGACCAGTTATGGCCGTGGGATTTGGGAAATGGGAGTGGAATGGCCAAAATAAGCCCAAGCCCCTAACTCCAGCCCTGTCAAGGGCTAAGTGGCGAGATATCGTAGCCATGGGGAGAAAGATCTCTCCCCCCACAAGCTTCTGCTTTCCCTGGTGAGCATCCTGGACCACGGGTCTAACGAGCATGATCAGTCTGTCGGGAAGCCATGGCCCAAACTCGCTTCACCCTGATCCAATGCCAGTTTAAGAAGAGCAGAGAAATGGCCCTTTGAAATGGCACATTAGGGCACTTGAACGGCTTTGGTCGGCAAACTTGGCAACAGGACTTGCCAGATTACAGGGCCAGGGAGGGTGCCGAGGGGCTGGGCATCAGAGGGATGGGGGAGACTTACCAGGCACCCCACTCCCAGGAGCACATGTGGCTCTGTACCCCCTGCTGCTATGGGAGTGACGGGGGAGGCGGCAGGGGAAGTGCATTGCTGCACCCCCCGCTTGCGGGGAGGGGAAGTGGTAGTGCACAGAGCTGCTTCCCCCTCCATACCCTGGGTGTTCCTGGATTGTGGACACCCGGAGCATGGAGGTTCAAGTGTATTTGAAAACACTACTTCTCAATGACTGCTGTAGCCCAGCGAAAACAAAACCCTCTCCTACCTCACAAGGAGAAGCTTTTGCACTTAGTTCACACAGAAATACTGTTCTATGGCTGGAGAAGATTTGCTCCGGGTTCTCCGGGGCTCCCAAACCGCCGATTGTGTTTGTACAGTACTACAGTTAACCCTCCGATCCCATTCTAGCCTTTGCACAGAAAGCAAGCCTTTCGGCAGACAAGCATCATGTACGGGATCCTAACGAGAGAGAGGAAAGAGCCACACAAAAACACCATCTCCTTGGCTATCTCAGGGGGACGCTGAGCCGACAATGCGCTGAGCTCCCCATCAGCCTCCTTCGACGCCTGACTAACTAGCGTGCTGCCCTAATACTAAAAATAAGAGGCTTATAACTTTGATGAACTGACCCCTTTTCCTTTGTCAGACCTTACAGGCTCACAGTCAATCCAGCCTTACAGAATTTGAGAAAATACGCTTGTCAGTCGGCCATCGTGAAGACAAAGCAGGCTTTACCTACCACAGATGGCAGTGCTAGGAGAAGCATTATGGCTCTTTGTGCAAAACTGCTTAATGAGTCCTGTTGCCAGACAGCCATCCAGCATTCCCGAGGGAGGGAAGCGGAACCCTCCCTGGCAGCGTGCCACCCCCACCACTCCTGTGCCACCCTGTTCTACATCAGAGTCCCTGCCTTCACCAGCCAGACAAGTCTGGTCTTTTGCTCGTTCCATAAAGCACGTCTCAACCTCAATAGAAACTGGCACATG